CCGCCGCCGCACAGGGGTCGCCGTGGCAACCGCCCTGGCCCGCGTTACGTCTCGCCCCGCCCCTGCAGCGGGCCAGGGGCGCCTCGTGTCTCCTTTCTCTAGTGTTTTCTTCCAGCCCGCTGGTCCCTGAGCAGCTACCCCCCACGCAGGGGGCAGAGCAGTGCCAGCCTTGCTTTGGCTCCAGAGGCAGCAGTTCGTGCCCATGCCAAAGCCTCCCCCTCACACTTGACCCAGTTGTAAAGGGGACTCTAGAAGGCAGGGTAGACTCGCCCCTTCTAGATAGGGTCGTCAACCCTCCAGGATTGCCCTGGAGTCTCCAGGAATTAGACAGTCATTGCTGCGAGTCATGCAGGGGTCAAAAAACATCCCCTCTGCACTGCTCCCGTGCAGCGCAGAAAACAACTGAGCATGCGGTATGGTGTGTTGCAGACGTGTCTCCTGCACCACATACTGAACAGCAGTGCTCGTCTGGATGCGGCCTGGAGGTCCTTCCAGCCCTACTTCTTTGTGAGCTTGTAAAGCACGGAGAATGTCATGTCACGGGGTAAGGCAGTAGAAAACAGCATTATTTTTTTTTAGTACACAACTAGAATATGAATGCAACACATATGCCTATGTTACCTAGTCAATCTGGTGAACAAACAAGGACTGCTAATTGTTTGGGTAATATACAGGCACATTGCCAGGGGCAGGTATACTTACCTCGTCTCTTATCTGCCAATGCAAAATGAACTTCTGTTTCTTGCCATCACTCCAAACCCACTGTCCTGTCTGAGAACATTGTTAATGAATTGAACCCTACAAAGAACTCTTGATTGCTGAAGCTTGTGTTGGGCGGGGGGGGGATGTGAAATGCCCTTCGTGAGAGAGGTGTAAAATGAAAGAGTGGACAATCCCACAAACTGTACAGATGTAAGGTACCGTAACAGCATATATGGTACCTCCGTTAGTAGTCAGTTCAGTATTTTTATAGTAGTATTTTGTCGGGTTATATCATCTCTGCTCAAGGCAGCTAGAGGAAAGTTGTCTTGTTTATTGTTACTTGCAATGTTGCAAGAAATCATTTCAGTTACATTAATGGCGATTACAGTACCTGTGAGGGCTGCGTGGAGAGGGAGAAGAGGGTTATGTGTGTGGATGAACAAAGTAATGTTGTTAGGGAATGATGGGTGCTAAAGGTGAATGGGGTTGTCAACTGGGGGCTGAAGATGGCATGTGTTTGATAAAAGATGGACAATATTGAGAATAGCAAAACTGTTTGAAATTATACTTCCTAGAGTAGAACCTTAAATTAATATTGCGCTCAGCAATTTAATGTCTGAGGTGATGTACATATTGGCCTTTTTCTAACAGTACATCTCTCTGGAGTATCCTTATGTTGTCACTTTTTATTGAAGTTACCCTGGACAGGATTGTAAATCTTACATTTCATTGTGTGAATATTTTCCTATTATCCTTTCAAGTATATTTCTGAATTTTTAGACATCAGTTTGCATATTTTTGTCTGTTCCTTACCTAAAGGCCAACTTATCACAAAGGACTGTTAAAGGTTTTTATAAATGTGTTCATTTTACTTGACCACAGCTAATTGATTTTAGCTCTTTGATTTTATTCAGCCATTACAGAACAGTGACCCTGGTCTGTTATATACTATATGTCTACATAGTGTCAAACCCTGGGATCCTGACTAGAGGCTTTTAGGTTCTACTGTAGTACTGAGTTTAAAATGGTGGTTTTGTGTGGTTTCATGGTGGGAAAACTGGTTCTGACCCATTTGGTTGAAAACATGAATATGGAAACAAATTTCACTTGCTTTGTTGATTAATTTTCAATCTGTAGGCCATATATAAGGATGTACATCCAGCCTCTTCAAATATCCTTTTCTTATAGGTCTTCATCAGATGTAAATGTAACAGAAGAAAAAGTCACAGAGGTTAGCAGTCAACACTTCCAAACTGCAAGGTCAGCCTCTGAAATCCACTTGTGATGTTCTGGATGCAGTTACTCCTAGAGTGTAAAGCAGCAGACCAGAGGAGCATAACGATTCAGCTCTGGTCAGCTCACCATCTACTGCATTGGGGTACAGGTCCTCCACCTTTCCTTTGTCTACTTGTGATGTCGCAGAACTTTTGTGACTTGGTCCCATGCAAAGTAGTAAGGCCCAGGGAGGGAGAGCCTGATTACCATGAGCCAGGCACCTAATTCATCCAGCCTGGGAAGGGTGGTTCACTGGGTCTTACAAGAGTGTTCGGGGCTTACCTTGTCACATGAGGAAGAAAAAAAGCTATGTTGCTCCAGGGATAGTGTCTGGAGAGCAAGATTTTTTGAAGCTGCCCTCACTAGCTGGGAATCAGACAGTGAGCTCTCATGAGGAGGAGGATGTCTGTGGAGTATTTGTGAAACTCTCCAAACTTCACTACAAACTGAAGGATCCTCTGAAGGAGCTGTTTTATCAATGTGCTTGTGAGGATGAAGGGGAATGTACGTGCATATAATCTGGATATATGGGGTCTGAGGGTGGCTTCAAAACTTTTTTCTGCTTTTGGGAGAGAGAGGGAAAATTATAGGCTGTGACAAGCTCAGGGGATCCACCTCTCAGCATCTTATGCCTCCTTGTGGTCAGACTTATCTGCCCATGCTACCTGGCCTCCTTCACCTTCTGCCTCTTTCCTGTCATGACTTGATCTTAAGGTATTTAATTGGGGAGGCTACCTGCGTGCCTTTCTTCTCTGTCCAGCCCTCAGGGCTCCTCTGCTCCCAAGCCTCAATCCTCAGAACTCCTCTGTCTCCAAACTCTGTGGGATGTATTTCTCCTTTAAAACAGCCTCAGTTGTGAGGCTATAGTCATAGCCTCCATCCACCCCCATAGCCACACTTCTGCCTCATAGTGGTCACTCAGTTTCAATTCAGAGGGGTCCCCTGATTCCAACCCTGAACTTGGCCTCTCAGACCTCAAGTCTTTGTCTGGGCTTCAGCTTCCTGGCTTGAGCCCTTTGTCTCCAGCTGCACCCTTCAGCCATGGACCTCTGCCTCAGACCCTGGGCCCCAGCCCTGTCTTGCTCTCTATACCAGCCCCTTGGGGCCCCAGAACCAGGAAAGGCTGCTCTTGCTCTGCACTACCCTGGGGTCCCAGACCTTTATCAGGCTCTATGCTGGGTGCCTCTCAGGCTGCCCCATGGCTTCCACACCTCCACATTGCCACAACCCAGTCCTCCAGTGTTAAACTTAAAAACAGAAAAAATAACTAGAACACAAAATGTTAGCCATCTGGTTGCAACTCATCCAAAATCCCTCAGGGCTGTAACAGTTGCCACAAGCCTCCCATAAGGATTGATTCCCCAGCCCACAGAGTACTTCCCCTGGTTCTCTAGCCCACAGGATACTTCATTTTCCCCTGGCAGCCAGCTCTATCCTCAGCTCCTGCCCCTGCAGCTTACAGACATAGACTGCCAGCCCTAGCCCAGAGGGTGGGTTTATATTCAACCAAGCCCTGTCCCTTCTGGTCACCCGACTTCTGCCTTTGAAATTGGGCCTAGGCGTTTCTGCTCAGGCTAAGAAGCTGTTTGGACTTCCGTGCCCTGCAGTTCTTCCTAGCGGTCCTAGGCCTCGAGGTCTGGGTTCTTGCTACTGTGGGCATTTGCACAGTTCTGCTTCTGTGGGCCACAAAAGTCTTACTGCCCTGCAGGTAGCTCCTAAGTTGTTATAGGTAGCTCCATAACTCTTCTCTGGGCTTTCTTCTGGCACTTGCTCAAAATGCAGCTGGCCCTAGTTTAGCTGTCTCCTGTAGAATGCTCTAACCTGCTGCTTTCTCCTCTTAAAGTAACAGGAGCTCCTGGCTCCCTGTTCACAGGAAAGTAGAGGATGGCAGGGATGTCAAGGAGGTCATCTGGTCCAGCCTCCTGTTCAAGGCAGGGTCTAATTATGTGTTGGACTCAGGATTAGAACCCAGGTCTCTCAGGTGAGTGCCCTATAGAACAGGGCAGCTACTTTATACAAAGAACAGCTTTTCAGGAAAGAATAAGAGAGATCTGTCTCGCAATACCTCTTGGCTCGGTAGTTAGGTAGTCTTTGGAGAAGTGGATCTGCTTTCAAATTCCTGCTCCCTGGCATCTGGTGGTTTCCTAGGCTAGGGTACTGAGTATAAAGGTGGCCAGCATTGTCACCCTCACCTGTTTAATGAAAGGCCAGATCTTATTATGCATTCACCACAGGCAAGACAGATCGAAGAATGCTTAATTTGTGAGTCATGCTGGGATTTAGGTGCTGAACTGATTGGGACTATCATTAGTCGCGTATATGCCCAGTAGAAGGAATTTAAGTGTCTAGGGAGTTTTAAGAGTCTTCAAGGTCAGTCAGATTCTGAGTCCCTAAGTTTTGGAGTTCCGTGTCTAAATCTAGTCCTTTGCCACATACAAGATGAACTAAGATCTCCAATTTCCTTGACCCTTCAGCCTAAAACACCATCTTCATGAAATGTAAAAAAAGAAAAAAGAAAGCAGTTCCATTCTCAGTTTTCTTGGTTAGAAGGAATCTCAAGGAGTGCCCCAAACAATTTGCACTTATTCCTTTTTTTTAAAAAGAAGCACCACTTTCAAATCCTGGAGAGAAAGAGGTACCCAGACCAGAACAAACCAACGTATATGAAACCTCTGCCCTCCGACAAGGGGCTGCTAAAAAACATAGCCATTATTTAAGCAGTAATGAGGGGGTTTTAGTGACATAATAGGCCTATTTTTTTCATGAATCAGAAGCACTAATCCACTTTTCTCCCATACAGGATTATTAAGCAAAAAATGACTTGTTCAAAGATCCAGAGGCAGAAGTTTAATTACCTAATATAAACAATTAATCAGGCACAAAGAGATTGCTATTTCCCTTTCACATAATGTTCAAGTGTAGCCACATTTTAATAATCCATATCTGATTGGCTCAGAGATCAAGTCTAGGTAAAAGCAATCCTTGGTTTGCTGTTATTTCATCAGGGATAGCCTAAAAAGGTGTGGCTGTATTCTAATCTAATTCTTAATGGATGCTAGAAACTTTTTTAATACTATTTTGCTAAAGATTAAGAGAGCGTGTCTGAAGGGGATAATGTAAACATGGGAGGATTATATTTTAATAATATTAATCATGCCTATAAAGAAACCTGTAAGAGCATCTGAACAAATCCAATTTAACTTTTGTGGGAAGCATTAAACTTGAGACTTAAATCCATAAAACCCTTGTCAGATTGTGTGAGGGGGAGGGATTGGGAAGCCAATGACTTTGGAGACTGTAACAAAAAGAAAGCTCTGGTTTGCTAAAAAAGAAGGTCCTCAATTCACAGAGATGAAACAATAGCAGGGGACAGACAGTTGAAAATAGGAACCTGTATTAAGGTACTCCTTGGAACTTCAAGTGAGCTTGAAGTTTGAGAAGGGATGAAAAAAAATGGGGCACCTTTATTAGGTACTCCAACCAAGAAAAACTGGGGAAGAGCTGTGATCATAGCTCTGCCCTAGCTCTGGACTATGCTGTCACCACTACAAGATCCCAG